TTCATATCTTCAACAACGGAAATATTCCTCATGGATGTCCCAGTAGAAACCATCGTTTATCAAATTGTACTTTCTCCATCCAGCATGACAAAGTGGGTCTGCTCAGCATGGCCAACGCCGGGCCGAACACCAACGGCTCCCAGTTCTTTCTCACTACCGTCCCCACACCACACTTGGACGGCAAGCACGTTGTTTTTGGCCAGCTGGTAAAAGGGATGGGTGTCATCAAAATGCTGGAGTCCATTGACACCAATGAAGACGCTCCTGTAAAGGTAACTCTCTCTTTTAAACATGTAGAGTTTGATGCCTTCAGGTGTTTTGCTGTTGTTTGTATTTTACATTTTCTTTATTTCATTGACGACCTGAAGTTGATGTGGTGAAGGTGATATAGAAATGTATTTATCTCCATAATCAGAGACGGTTTTCTCAAATGTCTTTAGAAAGCAATGACGAGGAAAAAAAGTTGTGATTCACATGATTTTGTTTCTGAATACGGTTTCTTAGTGTCTAAAATGTCTCTGTAATGTCTCTCTTTGCAGCCGTGTGTCATTGGAGACTGTGGGGAGCATAAGGACGGGGACGGCTGGGGCGTCGCACCAAACGACGGATCAGGTGACGCCCTACCAGAGTTCCCCGAGGACTCAGATGTGGACTTTAGAGATGTAAGTTTTTGTGAGCTTTTTGATTTTTCAATGACATCAGACTTCTCTGTTAGACACCGCTCTGTGCTGGTTCATATTGGGAGCCCAAATTAGACGTGAACATCTTTATCAACTCAACGCCAAGATTCAGAAAACGCTGGAAGCAGAGAATAACTGTTCAACTCATCATGTCAAAGGCTTATTGTCAGTATTTAGAGACTGCTGATTTTTCCTCTCAATGAAGTGGTTTGAAAAGTCTCACCAAATGTTGTTTACAAACTCTCTGGATGATTTAATTTCTTGCCAAGTGAACTTTGTTTTAGCCGTTTCTCTGTGTGCACAGATGTCAGCCAGACTTCTAGCTAATACTTCACTAAATATCAACAAAGACAAAAAAAAAACTACCAAGAAAAGATGGAATAATAATTTTCATCTGAATGTGCTTTCAGGTTGACAAAGTTCTGTCCGTCGCTGAGGATGTGAAGAATATCGGAAACAGTCTCTTTAAGAATCAAGACTGGAGCGGAGCCATCAAGAAATACAGTAAAGCCCTCAGGTAAAAAACAGACTCGGTGTGTGTGTGTGGTTTTCATTTGGACACAGCTGCCTTCACAAATGATCTAAATGATCTCGTATAGTCCACTTACTAGAGCCCGACCGATTAATCGGCATCGGCTAATTTTATCGCAGATATTCTCTAATATTACTCGTTTTATTCACCAGTCAAATAACATTTCAATTGAGTTTCATTGTATTACACTAGCAGTTCTCCTTCACCAGCAGAGGGCGCTAAATGGATTAAAAACAAGCATTTTAACTCTCCAAGAGGTGACGCAAGTACATGCTCAGTTACCTTCCACTCGAGTAATCATCTTGTCCACAAGTGTTTGAATATAATAAAGATATTGGCCCATATATCTGTATCAGATTATTTTTCTTCCCCAATATCAATATGGGCCCCGGAAATCCCATATCGGTCGGCCCTATCAACATGCAGGATTATAATATAGAAAGGGCCGTGTTATGCAGACTGTACTTTATAACAGCGGTATCTCTCTGGGCTTTTACAGTTGAATAGTTTTCTATAACTGTTGCAGTTTATAGTTCCTGCTCAAGATTCTGAAAAGACCAAAACAAACATCTGTCAATTCATACCAGAACCTCCAGCTATAGCCTTGAGCCTTACAAAAATCATCAGCGAGCTCCCACTGCGGCTCCACTTGTTATTCAGTTCAGATCCGCTGACAAATAAAGACAGTTTTTTCACATCAGTGTGCAGCTCTCTCCGTGACAATGAGCCTCTTTCTTGTGCAGGTACTTGGAGGTGAGTGGAGAGCAGCTGGACGAGGAGGCTCACCAGAAGTTGGAGCCCACCGCGCTCAGCTGCTTCCTCAACACGGCAGCATGTAAGCTCAAGATGCAGCTTTGGCAGGATGCTCTGGACAGCTGCAACGAGGTACATTTTTACTATACTCTGTTAGTTGTTGTCCATAAAAACATCAAGGTTAATGTCTTGTTCGCGAATGTTCTTATGCTGACGTTCAGAAACATTCATCCTGTTCTGTAAAGCAGATATGCTTTCTTTCTGGTTGAAGAAAAAGGTTGATACTGAGGCAGATGAATTAAATGTAAAAGGTCTTTAATAAATTCTTACCTAACCCATTGGGGGTGGGGGGGGGGTACATTTGGCCCTTGGGGGGGGGTTACATACATAAAACGTTGAAAGGTGACAGCTTCCTTTGTTTTCCTTTTGTGTGTTTTCAGGCTTTAGAGCTGGACCAGGCGAACACTAAGGCACTTTTCCGTAGAGCTCAGGCTTGGCAGGGGTTAAAGGAATACAGCAAAGCCATGGTAACATCCACACACACACACACACACACACCTCTGTCTTTATAGAGCTCAATGAGACACATTAAAGGCTACAGACCTTTTGTATGATATACCTCATAACACGATTCAATCTGTCATTATTTATGGATTATATTGTTTCCATCCCGCTTCAGCAGCACAGATCTATTATGTTCGTTTCTATCTGTTCTTCTAAATCATTCTAATGTGGGACAAACAAACTTTAAAGGCCTTTAGAAATATTCAAAGCAAAGCAGCAGTCTCACTTCAGTTAGACTTTACTATTTACCCTTTTTTTTTTTTTTTTTCCAGACTGATCTGAAAAACGCTCAGGGAATAGCTCCAGAAGACAAAGGTATGTTATCAACAGTTTCTGTTTGTTCAGCCCTTATCTGTGCCCAAATATGAAGCAATATATTTTATTTCCTAATAAGGTTTCATGCATATTCAGTCACATTATTTTGACTTGGCATGCGCGCTCATACAGAAACCACAGTGCAGGAAAGACAGTTTGTTTTTCCTCCTTATTGAACTGAATTAAAAACAATCAGATAAGTAACTCATGAAAAGTCAACAGCAGAACAATAATTCATGGATACGTTAGAGGACCCTTCACCTTGGCTTCTACGAGTTTGTTACAGGACACACAGTGAATCCACAGTTTGTCCAGTCAGATAAATCAAGTGTTTGGTGCTGACCGGTCTGTGTAGGCTCTCAGTCATCCAGGTCATGGTAAATTAGAAGCCTGATTCAAAGGCACTTTAAACTGGTTTGAAGTCTAGAAGATGTTTTCACCTCTCCTCCCAAAGGCTTTCAGAAGGAGAGGTGAAAACATCTTCAAGATCTTTAACCAGTCCAGTTACCTTTGAATCAGACTTCAAATCTGTTCAAAATGAAATCAGCACACGGACCACATGGACTCAGGTCGTGTTGATGCCAGATCTTTGAACCTCAATAAGATTCTAGTGAAAATCTTAACAACATTGATACCTTTTCTGATACCATGGCAACAAAAACAAAAGTCCTAGGTACCTAACACTTTGTAAATTATTTTTTCTTACAAAACATTCCTGCACACTGTCTAAAGTGAACACATATGTAATGTATTTGTGCCATTCTGCTCTGCTCCTCCAGCAGCCTTTGGGGGATTAGCTTTGGTTCGTTTCAGTACTATTGATCATTAATATAACAGGTGGTATCGTTTTAAAACGCGATGATTTCGTAACCACTAGCTACTGGTCAAACCCCCTTACAGACAAGAAGCTGTAGTCTAATTAAATTTGATTCAAGAGAGGATGTTATGGTCTTGGACCCAATTTCTGTGAAGGGCAGACACTTCATCTATTATTAAGTGTGGCTCATGAGATCATTTGTTAGAGCCACATGCTGCTTAGTGCACACAAGTGTCTTTATTTGTGTAGCGTCATTTACAGCAGAGCAGGTAAAAGACCTTACTCTTAATTATGTTACATTACAAAGACCCGACGTTAATCCATCATGAGCACTCAGCAACAGTTAGTGAAGTTATCAACACAGCAGTGAGAGCGATGGGTAGTGTACTTATCTGTGTGAAACAGTTTTACACATGATATTTATCTGCTGTTTCTAAGCCCACTCTGTGCATATTTAACTAAAATGATTGGTTGGTTCTTGTGTTTTTTGTATCACTCCCTGTAACAAGTTTTAGAGGAACAATTTGGAAAACATCTCCTAAATAAGAGGTTTTTTTTCAGTGTTGTGGTTGTGATTGGGATCGCTGCTCTCTGCTGTCTGACAGTGTCTCCCTTCTCTTTTGATATTTTAAGAAACAGTTAATTGGCTCCAGGCTCTGAGATAAGAGTGGAGCTGTCAGTGGCGTCACAGCCCTGATGCGTCTTTTTTTTAAAGTGAAAGTTAACATCTTTCTTTTTGAAAAGAGATTTTTAAAAAAGTGTTAAAATGGACGCTCGGGCATGAAAAACAGTTTGAAATCATCTCAGCACTGTGGGAGACGATATGCAGTACAAAAGACTTAATTGGGTTTGAGTCACCAAGTCTTTTCTCTCTTGACAGCAATCAGCAACGAGATGAAGCGGGTGCAGCTGAAGGTCCAGGAGGAGAAAGAGAAGGAAAAGAAAATCTATGCCAAAATGTTTGCGTGAACACTTCACCTCGCGATGCATTCTCGTCTGTAACGGTTCTAAATATTTGAAGTCACCTCGACGTGGGGAAGCTGCCCTTTCTCTGACAAAGAAGTCTGAAAGCAGGGGGGCGTTTCCCACCGTCTGTATTACAAGGGAATGAGTGTTGTAAGCTTGGACCTGTCTAAATCCTGACAAGTATTATTCACTGTTAACGATAGTTTGAGCGATAGCGGGATGCACGGCCGGCGTCAAAGCGGGTTAACACTCGACACGGGTTGGTTTGAAGTTGTTTGTCTTATCATTTCATCGAAGGGATTTTGATACAGTGCCCTCAGAAACATCTGTTCTTATTTATGTTTTTTACAGAGGTCAATAAAGCAGAAACAACAACAGTCAAAGTGTTCTTTATTAATTACTGTGGTTATTATCTAATGATATGTACAATACTGTCTCTGTACCTGCAATAAACCTGCATAACAATAAGTGTTCTGTTACAGTTCTTGAGGGGAATATATGCTCCATTGCTCGTCGGTATAATGCTTCTAAAAACAACAAATCGATTTCCTTTTGGTGCGTCTGAGCCGATTGAAAGCTCAGTGTGGATTTTAAGAAAAAAAAACTACTGAAAACAATTTTTAAAGTCCTTTTTTATGGTCCTGTATTTTACAGTCTCAAAACTCCTTCCCACTTAATTTAATTTCCTGTTCCTCTGTATAAATTATTCTACATCTGAAAACGCAGCTATATTTTTCATGAAACGCTCAAAACCAGCTCTCTAGTTATTCTGATTCATATTCAGGCACGTCTGCCGCACTCTGCCCTGAATGCGAGATACAATACGTTATATTTCTCAAGACAAAAGTAAAAAAAAACATGGCGTTCACATTCCATTGTAGGCGGGCCCTCCGCCGCCTTCAGGCACAACCCAGTTGATGTTCTGGCTCGGGTCCTTGATGTCGCAGGTCTTACAGTGGACACAGTTCTGAGCGTTTATCTGCAACCTCATCCCGTCTCCGGTTTCCAAGGGAACGTACTCGTACACACCTGGGCGGGTCAATGGAGAAACGGTAATCAAGTTAGAAAGATATGACATTTTTAAACATTTCAGTATTAACCAGTAAAGAAAAGTCAAAACACTTCTTACATGATGTGGAACAACATCAGTTATTACTCCAGCTGCTTTTACAATTTAGCTTTTTGTTAAACGTTGCAGAAGGTAAACACTCGGATACTCACTAGCCCTTTTCAGACTGCTTCCCCCCTCTAACTTCGCTCAGCGATCATCACACATTTGTACATTTACATTGATTTTACAATCAGCAGCTGTTTCATTTCTGTGATTTCAGACGGACTGACCCAAGAATCAAGAGTAATCATTTCCACAGCTCTGAGAAACTGTGATCAGGGTTTTGTTAATTACACAAAATAATTAATTAGGAATATAATGAATGTGGTCTGGGTTAGAGGTCTACCTGGCATCAGTACCACAATGTGAATTTGAAAAACTAGCACACACTACACCTCTTTAATTACAGGCATTATAATTCGATTTTGGAAGGGCTACTTATTTTCTAATTAATCTGCTGATACCTTTAATTAACTGCTTTGTATATTTACATAAAGTCCTGAGATATGTAAACAGATACTAATCACTTCTTTGGCCTGACTAATGGTCTGAACCCGAAAGATAATGAGTCTCTCATCTCATGAGGTGGCAGAAACCAGCGAGGGGAAGCTTTTTTTTTTGCTTGAAAAGACGTGAATGAGTTTTAAAAGATGCTGCAGATTAATCTTCTGTCCGTTGAGAAAACATATTGTCTTTAGATAGGTTAGATTTCAGCCCGATGAATACTTGAATATTGCAGTAAATCCACTTCACCTCCCTCCTACGTACAAAACTCCTGAGTGAACGCCCTCTGATTCATCAGTGTGAGACTTCATGTAATGAAACTTTGTCTTCATGGAGCGTTGACAGGATGTACTCCTTTGTGCAGCCTGACAGATAATAATAAAGTGAGTAAGGGGTCACGGTCGGTGTTACCTGCAGGGCAGAAGCGCTGCTCGGGCCCGTCGTAGATGGCCAGGTTCCTGTTGACAGGCACGCTGTCGTCTCTCAGGGTCAGATGTGGGGGCTGGTCCCCCTCGTGGTTGGTGCCGCTCAGTGCCACCGAGGAGAGCAGGTCGAAGCTGAGCTTGCCGTCGGGCTTTGGGTATTCAATGGGTGTACAGTCTTTGGCTGGTTTCAGCTGGTGGGCGTCAAGGCCTGAGACAGACAGAGCACGGCAATGAAATGAGGATTTTCTGTGCAGGCACAGGATGACCCTAAACATGACCCCAAACCCGACCTCAAACCTGACCTACAGAGAAAGCTGTGAGTGCATTGTGATGAAGTGCAGCACTGAAGCTAAAGGTCAAACTGATGGTCTGAATGTTAATTTCTTTTAAAGTTTGTTAACAAGTACTTAGTTTACACAAGTCCACAAGAGCAATAAACTTGAAGTTGAAGGAAATGTTAAATCACAAAGTATAGATGGATAAAAACTGTCCTTTTATGTCTTTTGCTTCAGAGAAATCCTCTGCCTGCATTAGGGTCAAAACAAATGTCAACAGGAAGCAGTACAATGATTCTTCTTTGTGCACTCACCACAGTGTTTGAGGGTCCACGGCTCTTTCCCTCTGAAGATCCAGTAGAAGACCCCGGTGTAGACCATGCCTCCGTACAGGCCGAAGTAGTTGTGGAAGGACGGCCTGATGTTCCTCACCGCGTGCAGCTCTTTCCACACCCACGAGTTCTTCAAGTTATCAGAGTACTCGGGTACATGAAGACCTGTGAGAATTTAAAAAAAAGAAAGATTTTAACAAGGAGAGTAGATTCAGTTTTCCCTGATCAGCATTTCCAACACTATTGAAGGTTTCCACTGGAAGAAATAATCCCTACAGAACATTTGACAGTCCGGTCTGGTGGACTTCCATTATCTAAAGGGGGACACACGGGCTCTTGTAAAATCAGTTGAAACCGTAACAGTACTGTTTTAAGTGGCACAAATTACATTTCCGTCACCTCAATCAAAATAAGCTGGTGGCCAAAAGTCAAACTCTGGAAACCAAAACTGTCTGCACACAACTAGAAAACAAGGATGTCTGTGATGTCCTTATCTGGGAGAGGAAAGAAAATCAGATACCGATATATCCGCCTGATATGTTTCTTTGCTTTCTGAAATCCGTAGATAGATAAACACATTTATTGTGTTGATCCCTCAAATGCAGTTTTCAAACACTCGTGGAAAAGATTTAGAATAAAGACAAGATGGTCACTAAACTGGAAAGTAACTGAGCATGAACGTGCGTCACCACTTGACACTCTGGTAGAGTGATGATGCTTGTTGTAATCCATGTAGCGCCCTCTGCTGGTGAAAGAGAGCTGCTTGCGTAATACAATAAATTTCAATAAAATGCTATTTGACTGGTGAATAAATCCAGTAATATCGGCACATATCTGCGATATACACAGGATATGCAACTATCGGCCGGCTGATTTATCGGTCAGGAAAAAAAAGTCTATTTTTCTTTCCCAGGATTCAGAGCATATTCTGCTGCCTTGAATATACAGAATATATATGATGCTGTGATGGTCAGTTTCACTCTGAGGCTGCTCTCTCTCTCGAAGCAGCATGTCAGTTCTGAAAGAATATCTCGATTTTGAGACTTCTCACTGACACATTTCACTGACACCTGTTAGATATCATCCCCTCAGGCTGTCTTTCATTACAAGCCTTCAAAGCATCCCGAGGAGCTTTATTGTCTAATGTACGATACCTGATTAAAGTTGATACCTGATGTGATGCACAAAGACTCACAACACCATGGCTCCCGAGGATGAACTTATTTTTGCGCCTGGTGAAGAAGCGTTGTGTTCTTTAATGCATATAGGAGTTATAATAGGAATGTCTTTGGGAGCCATAGTGTTGTGAGTCCTTTTGCATCATATGTAGTGTTTTATTTACGACTCAGCACCTGAATAAGTGATGTGTGTGTTTGTGTGTTTGCTGACTTTTTCTGAAATGTTGCTACCTGACATTAATTCTTGTTGCAGTGTTTCTTTTGGTTAAGGAACTTCTAAAAGAAGTGTGAGGTGTTCAAATGAATATCTCTACACCCTGTCACTGAGTTTACACCTCATCCCGGTATGACCCATCATGGAGGAACTGGACTGAAAAGCTACAGCAGGTGAATCCATCATGGTCATCAGGAGGTGTTTAAACTTTGTACCCGTGGTCTCCGACTCGGTGCTCTCTGCTGTGACTTTGGGGAAGATGGCCTCAGCAGCCAGCATGCCGCTCTTCATGGCCGTGTGGGTGCCTTTGATCTTTGGGACGTTCATGAAGCCGGGGCTGCAGCCAATCAGCAGGCCTCCAGGGAATGTCAGTTTTGGGATAGACTGCAGAGCAAAAAGACAGTTTTTGGACCTTAAACTTGTAACTGAATAAAAAAGAAATATGGCTGCTGTTCAATTTGATGCAGGCTGAGGAAATATCTACATGTTCCCCTTCTTGTTTTGGGTATTCTCCATTTGGGACATGGGGAATGCTCTGAGAGGAAACCAGATGATTAACCCGACTACCTCAACTGACCTTTACGATGTGAATGGGCAGAGGCCGTGCTTATCTGGAATGTTGCTGCTACTTGGAAATGCACGTTATGGAGTTTAACCTCAAGATAAACTCAGAGAAAAGAATGTGTCGACACACAACTCACCCTGAAAACTTTATTCTGGTCGTCTGTGTTAACAAAGATCAAATGAACTGGACTTTGGGGTCGAGTGTACTCGGATCCAGGCCGGGGTCACTAATGTGAAATCACCCTAAGACTCTAAATTTGAATTTCTGCTGATGGCTGTTTTACATAAACCTCAACAGTAAGTACGTCTTGTGACTTCCACAGAGATGTAGCATCTGCTCAAAGTACAAACTTCTAAAACAGCTTCAGGAAAGTTTTTTTTACATTTACCAGTTTTAAGCCAAACAAGTAATCAGTAAAGCAGAGACGTACCTGTAGTCCTCCCTCGTTCAGCGCTCGGGCTCCATACGCTATCCTGCTTCCTCCTTCGAGGGTGGGAGCGACGAAGGGGTGGTGTTTCCAGCGCTGGAACTCCCTGAAGGGGCTCAGGTAGGGGTTGCTGTAGTCCAGACCCACCTGGAAGAGGAGAAAACACATTCAGTTTAATGCAAACTGGAAGACTGTGGAGTTTATTTTTCATATCTCCTTGAAGGTAAAATTATCTCCATCTTTCTTGTGTTCCCGTTGCATTTTTCCAATCATCTGAAGGGCATGAAAACTTAATTATCTGGAGACTACAAATGAAGTCTTTAACGTCCTCGATGAGTCTTAAATTGTTCTGGAGGTCATCTACAGAAGATTAAATTTAACAATCACATTAAGCTGTCTTCATGAAGCTACAAAAGAGCACAGTGATGTCAGAGGGTAAAACAAAAAGTCAAGTCAGTAAGTACTGCCGAGCACTCGGACTGCATGGTGATGAAGTTTGGAAATCTTAAAAAGGTGAGGGTGAAACCTGGGAACCACGGAGAACTCTCAGCTGATGTCTGGCCAAATTCTTTTGACCTGATATTAAAAAAAAGGTCTTCCACTGGGAGGTGATTTATGGTGCTTAATATCTCTAAATGGACACCTCTAATGGATGAAAATAAAATCACACCGGCTGTATGCATAATGAAACAGCTGGCAGTAATATCATATGGCTCATCGCTGTCAGAAACGTGATGTGGCTTTTCAACGTGTGAGCAAAAAGAAATGTAGATTTGTCTTAATGCCCTCTCAGCAGTCTACATTCAAGATGTGGTGCCGAGCATCCTATTTGCTCCGGACACTGATTCTGTCTGTGATGATTTCTGTCACTCTGTGTTGATAAACCAAGTCTGGAAATTGGTGGAGAGGTGCCAGTTCACTTCCTAAGCAAGGTATCGAACCCTCATGTGCAGCCCCTCACTCTGACATTTCTCCATCAGTACATGTCCACAGAGTCCTGTTGTAAATGGTAAATGGACTTGAGCTTGTTTAGCATTTTTCTAGTCTTCTGACTACTCAAAGTGTTTTTACGCCGCAGGTCACACCTTCACATTCACACCCTGATGGTAGAGGCTGCTGGTAAAGAGACCATCAGAAGTAACTAATCCATTCATACACATTCGTAAGCCACAGACGAAGACGGAGCAACGTGAGGTTAGAGGAGCTGGGAATCGACCGACTGAACCACAGCCTTGTGTGTGTGTGTGTGTGTGTGTGTGTGTGTGTGTGTGTGTGTGTGTGTGTGTGTAGCATGTCTTAACACGAGTGTGGGAGTAATAAAGGATATCGTCTACTTTTAAAATACCAAAACACAGCTGAGTGCAGAGGTCTTCAAACCAGAAGTAAAAAAAAATAAAAAAAACTCAGCCTAGACTGAATTTGCCAAAACCTCTGAGGTTCACTTTCTCGTATCAGAAAACAAGAAAACAAACACAAAGCTGGTTGTGTCCAACGGCTTAATGTCATTCAGGGTTTAAATTGACCTCAATTGAGGAACAACAGAAAAACCATTCCGCCTGTTGTCAGCTGTCTTAGGGAACATGGGCAGGGTGGCTTTGTGCTGTCGTCAGGTCAGCGACCGTCTACACTTCTGGTATTTATAAAGTTACCTTTTTTGGCCTTTTTACACAGCTGAAGAACTAGTCTATCAGGCACCCCTCTGTTGTCTAGAGTTAAGCCACTTTTCCAAAACGTCTATCATACTTTTACTTTTTTTTTGTCCTGATTAGTATTGTGACTCGACTGATGAACAAATAACCGAGCCCAGCCTCGCACATTTCATGCAAAGGTAATATAAATATGATCATCTGCAGATTATGCACAATATAGATTTCACTTGAATCAATTCAAGCCTTTTGTTTGTTTATTTCCTCTGAATGATGAATAATAAAAAAACATATCAATGCATGACAGCCCGAGGCTTTGCAATCTATTCTGAAGCTGAATCCCCAAGGCGCTTTATTTACTGGCTGCTTGATATCCAGCTGTCACATCTGTTTATGTGATCGTCACAATGTATAAGAGCTGCTCACCACAAAGCCCAAGGCCACGAGCGGCTCTCCTTCGTTCAGGTGATACAGGAAGGAGCCTCCGTATGTGTTTCTGTTCAGCGGCCAGCCCACAGAATGCTCCACTCTGCCCGGTCGCCACTTCTTCTCATCGATCGTCCAAACCTTTAAAAAAAAGAAGAAACACAGTTTTCAACAAGGAGTCCTTTAAATCTTTCACTCCTTTTCAAACAACAATGGTTTAACATTTGATTAAATATGAAAAGGGGAGCATACTATCTCAACATTTACCAACGTTTAAGGAACATTCATTTGATAAATACAGGGATTAAAGCAGAAAAAAAAATGTTGACTGAAAATTCTCATGGTATAAAACCATGAGAAAAATTAAAAAAAACAATCTGAAAGGTGTTTTCTATTTTAGGAATAAAACTGACACATTGACAAGATATATTTAAAATACATCTTGTTTTATTTTACATTTATATAAACAACCGCTGCAGACTCAAGTCTCTAAAGCTTGTGTGGAAACCAGAGCAAACAGGGTCAATTGACAAGGTTACTATGGTAACCCTTCACAAAAATCTTCAGCAGATGTTATCAGCAGCTTTTAGCCCCTCAGCCAGGTTTATCTGAATATCAAATAAAACATGAAAAAGAGCTAAATATGTTTCCTACAGAGACTCAATCTTACACACATGGATTGTGTCCAAAAGGGATTCAGAGGCAACGTTAAGGTAACCACTTTCCTCCTCACAGGAAGGACTTTTACTCACAAACAGTCAAACCAGGATAATCATATCAAAGGCCTCAAACAGAGCGAGCGGCTCTCCACCCAGCATTAGATTCAAGTAGGCAGTACGGTTATTTACCTCCTTGAGGCCGATGGCGTAGGTCTGAGGCTCACAGTTCTCCCGCAGGTTGAATTGCTTATAAAGCTGCTTGGCCAAATGACCGTGACAGCCTTCTCCGAACAACGTGACCTTAGCATGGAGCTCCATCCCCCGCTCGAAAACATCCTGAAGCGAGAGAAGAATAGGACATGTAAATTATGTTTTTTATGAATGAAACAGCAACTGAATCTGATGAATACTATTGAGGACAAAGAAGAGGAAAGAAATAGATGTACAGAAACATAAAGCAGATTTAGATTCTCTACATGGCATTATAAACCACACGAGGTTTTTATTCTTTAAGCAATATAAAAACACATTCTGTATAAATGAGGTCAGGTGAGTGCTCGAGATCCTGTTGGCTGTTTCCCCCTTTATATATCTTTTTAGAAAAGGCTTTTTAAATCCCATTGGTGTGTCTAAAGTTCTACAGAAAGGTCTCTATTTGTAAGTTTCAGATTTAAATGTACAAACATCATTTGGTTTGTTCTCTGTTCTTAATGTCAGTCACACCTGACAGAGTTCAGCTGTGACTAGAGGACCAAGGACAGCTTAGAGTGTCAACTGTCTTTCCTCATATCTGCAAAGATGTTTGGTAGACTTATTGTCTGCTCCAAATTGTACTAGAAGTCACAGATTAGTTTAGGTGGGTCAATATGACATGACCCTGATAATAATCATATTTTTTGGGATATAGGCAAAGCTGTTGGGAGAGTCTTGCAGATTTGGTTTAGCAAGACATACATTTTACATGTGTAATGTTGATCCATGTCTCCTTGTGAGTATTCATCTTATGTATTAACTTTCTTCAACTTAAACCATCTGAGTCGACTGAATCATTATTACAGTATCAGTCAGTACCTTAGGTGAACCGTCCTTGCCGATTCCTACATCATTGGTGGCGATTCCTTTCACACTTCCATCATCATGAAACAAAACCTAGACAAAAGAACGAGAGGGCAGAGAAGGATTGAGCACTCACAAACACTGCTGGAAAAACAGGTCAGTCTGAAGGCCAACAGCAGGTTTCTCGGGATCAAACGTCGGCACATCTTTATAAATGTTGAGGCACTTTTTCCTTATTTATTTTGTAAGACATTTTAAAGAAACGTCTCATCATCCTTTCATGAATCATCAGGCTCACAACATGTGTGTTTATTGCACTGGATTCTCAAAGTTTGATCCTTTTTATGGCGCCATAATCCATCAAATTACAGGAGAAAAAAACTGAAATCTCTAAAGGAAGCTGGTACACGATATGCAAGAACAATATAAATAACCTGTGTCAGACTTTGTGTTATTGCATGCAGATTTTAAATAGAAAAAAACCTGTGGATGACTCACCTCGGCTGCAGCATAACCAGGGTAGATCTCCACTCCAAGCTCCTCGGCCTGCTCCCCCAGCCAGCGCACAAAGTTCCCCAGCCGCACAATGTAGTTACCATGGTTCCCCATAGGCAAACCTGCAGTGAAAATGAGGGGGAAACGAAATCACTAACAAGTCGTTTCAGGGTTTTATCGAGTCGTAAAAAGCAAATAACCTCAATATAAAGTTGTTAATTTTCCACTTTTATGTTGAGATAGTTAACTGAAGAATCACCAACTAAATATGTAAGTGTCAGTGTTTGTTTAATAAAATCAAAATCTTCCTGGATGAATTCTCTGTTGTAATACAAAGCATGACACGTGTGTTGCAAAAATGAAAGAGCAGTGTGAACACATTTAAAGGATCATTCACTGCTTTTAAAGCGTATAGAGAACACACTCTGTATGATCCCCGTGTCTACAGACAGCAGGTTTTGTGCTGGCAGTAATCTTTCTCGATACAAAACCGATATAGTTCAGCGCTGTAACGCCCTCGGTGTCAGCTGTTTTCCGTCTCTTTGCTCAGATCGATCTCAGTTCAACTTTTTGGAACAGAGCTGCGTTCGTCAATGTCACTTTTCCTCACTGACCAATCCAAATCAAGAAAGGGCGGGACTTCAAATATTGTCAACAACAACGGCAGAGGAGACTCGTCTATTCTGAGTTTAATTTCCAGGTCTAGAGCTTCTGCTAATGACCGGACATGATACCTTAACATTACTTTCATGATTTCTTGGTGATATTTCCTTGAATAAAAGCAAATATTAAGCACAAGGAGTTATTTAAAACACACCTAACGGTCATTACTCAGGGGAAAACAGAAGTTAACATAGCAATTAATGAGCGCTGGTGGGAGGCGCTCTGAAACTGAGGATGTGGGCGCTGCCAGTGCATAACGTGCCGTCTTTTGACACAGGCCTAGTAAAGTAAAGCAGGGTATTTGGAAGAAAAAAAAAATCTCTGTCTGTACTGACTAAAAATCTATTTAATCAAGTTCCCTCTGTTTGAAACTCTGGTGGTGTGACACAGCATCGATTACTGTCAGACTGTGCCAATGAAGAATGTTGCATCCCTCTCACACTTTCACCCGTTTTGATCCTTTTCTCATCCCGTACCAAATAACACAGAAATAGTTAAAAATGTAATTCTGACCTCTGACTGAAACTATAGAAATATAAATGAAACACCATCACAACAGGGCAGAGCCTGATGCTGCCGTATCAACAGGTAGTGCGGAGAATAAAAAAGCTTTTACCTGGTAAAATGGGGACAGGGATTCTGTGTTTCTCTGTTAAAATGCTGAACACATCTTCAGTCACCGGGGTGTTCATGGGCGCCTGTGGTGAGAGCACAATATGTGTTGTTGTGAGTTTGACTGTTTGAATATTTAGATCTGTAGTTTACAACAGGGGATCCCAACCTCTTCGACTACACAGACCAGACAGCAGCGGTCATATCGCTGATGGACCGACAGGTGCAGGGATTTATACACACCATATGGAAATCCTCTAATAATGTCATGTAAAGATATATGAAACACAGAAGCATAATGTAAGCCAAACTATTGTAGGAAACACTTAAAATACAAAACTTAACTCGCCATCAGTGTGAGCCCTGAGCCTGTTTCCCAGAGGAGGTCGTAGGGTGGCGCTTTGCGTTTGATTGATAGGCGCAGCGTGTTTCTGACATCCAGTCTGCTACCAAAGAGTCGATTGTTTACATTTTTAAATCATGATTAATCTGTATTTTAATAGTTGATTTTGATAATTCTAATTTTTATTCGCATGTTTGAAATTAGATTATTTTGCATTTTAGAACTGTTTTTGTGAGGCTTTTATTTTGGAATTTTCTACTGTCTTAAGACTGAAGTACCTTTACTTCCTGTTTGAAGAAATTCTGCTAAATCGAAGGTTGTGACATTAAACTATGGAAAAACAAACTTGTTTTCGGATCAAAAACTAAATGAAAACATCTCAAAGGTCAATGTGTGATGTCATAAGGTGGAAAACATTCATGTTAATTTGAGCTTTTAATTAAAATAATTTACCTTGTGATACGTAATAATAGGTTAGCCATTTAAAGGGAAATACACAACAAAACACAATGAAGGTACGTATATGCCAATTACATCCACCCTCTTGTTTCTGACTGGGTTTTTCGCGGCCCGGTCTGAGCGACCCAAAGCCCGGTACTGGTCTGAGGCCCGTTGGTTGGGGACCCCTGTTTTACAACATTAACACAAATATACGCATATGAAAAAGGTATAGCTGTATGCCAATGTTGTAAATGTACCCATGTTAATATAACTCACATTATATATCTCAAACGTGACCCCTAATGGTACACGGCGTCTTTGATGATACCCCAGACCAACAAAGACTACATGTTGAATACTCACTCCTCGTTCCTTCCAATCAGGAAAGAGCTCGTTGAGGGCAGACGGCTCCAGACAGGCACCTGACAGGGTGTGAGCTCCGATCTGAGAGGCCTTCTCCACAAGGCACACTCGCAGCTCCTTCTCATGTTCGTTGGCTAGCTGCTTCAGGCGAATGGCTGCTGAGAGACCGGCAGGGCCCCCGCCTACTATCACCACGTCTGCCTCATCGGCAAACCTCTCCATTTCCACACCTAAGATAGGACCAAAGCATTCTCAATCAGTTTGTGATACCTTTTTAAGGATCATCAGTCTTGTCGGGCACCAAAATTGAAAGGATCAGGCAGGATTTGTTTTCTACTAGTGGAAAACTAAAAGATTTTTTTCTTCTTTCAAACTGTTTTTCAAAGTTAAACTAAACAGGCAAAGCTTCCTGATTTGTAAAAATTCTTATCTCCTATGTCCTAAAGACGTCCAGCAAACGCCTTTGAAGTGTGGGTAATTACAACAACCATAATAATCTTAAAATAGAGTATCTTACCTTCCCATCTTGGATCTTTATCTCGAGAATGGATGGTGTAGTGTGTTGTGATTTGTGGTGTTGCCACAGAAGAGCATGCCCGTCTGTGTAGTGTTGTGTACAGCTGAGGGGCAGCATACTCAGTTTGAACCGTCCTCAATGCCCTGATACACCTGTGGGCTGCAAGAGACACAACAGTCACCAGTCAAGACCAGCTCAAAGTAGTGGTCATGTGCCTTTATCATCTAGACGCCGTGCTCCATGAATGACTCAACAGAGCCTGATCTTGTGCACATATTTCACAACTCAAATGAAGTGCAATAAAATCATGACAAACAAATGAAGACAGAAAGCCGAAGCTGGTGACAATAAGGCGACTTCTACAAACAAAACAGCCAAAAGGATGCAAAACAGAATGAAAAGGTTTTCAGCAACACAGTCCTAGGTATTTTGATTAACGCATAGACGAGAAAATGATAAGAAAACAGCTGAAATGTGATGTAAATACCTGTCATCTTGTTTATCATTTCATTTCTTTATCTTGTGTTTTAGGTTTTTTTCGTAGTAGGTATCGTATCAACAGGGGGCTTGCCAGAGGCGGGACTTATGTCGAAATCCACTAATAAGGCTTAGGTGCAAAAGGGAGAGTGCATTGGTTTGTTGGCAGTCGAAATACTTAAAATGGTGACTGTGGACGTACATATTCATTAAGCATTGAAGAATGAAGCTTTGAAGATGTATATGTTGGTAATGAATGCTCTTCATTGATGTGTGTACACAAAATTCAGGCCACCCTGCAGAAGTCAGTGGCTGTATCCAAATTGCCAAGTACCTCTTCAATCTGTCAGTACCTACTATCTGCTGTTTAGTACCTACTATCTGCTGTATATTGTTTAGTACCTACTATCTGCTGTTTAGTACCTACTATCTGCTGTATACTGTTTAGTACCTACTATCAGCTGTTTAGTACCTACTATCAGCTGTATATTGTTTAGTACCTGCTATCTGCTGTATACTGTTTAGTACCTACTATCAGCTGTTTAGTACCTACTATCAGCTGTATATTGTTTAGTACCTACTATCTGCTGTATACTGTTTAGTACCTACTATCTGCTGTATACTGTTTAGTACCTACTATCTGCTGTGTACTGTTTAGTACCTACTATCTGCTGTTTACTGTTTAGTACCTACTATCTGCTGTATACTGTTTAGTACCTACTATCTGCTGTATACTGTTTAGTACCTACTATCTGCTGTATACTGTTTAGTACCTACTATCTGCTGTGTACTGTTTAGTACCTACTATCTGCTGTTTACTGTTTAGTACCTACTATCTGCTGTATGCTGTTTAGTACCTACTATCTGCTGTTTAGTACCTACTATCTGCTGTATACTGTTTAGTACCTGCTATCTGCTGTATACTGTTTAGTACCTGCTATCTGCTGTATACTGTTTAGTACCTGCTATCTGCTGTATATTGTTTAGTACCTACTATCTGCTGTATACTGTTTAGTACCTACTATCTGCTGTTTAGTACCTACTATCTGCTGTTTACTGTTTAGTACCTACTATCTGCTGTATGCTGTTTAGTACCTACTATCTGCTGTTTAGTACCTACTATCTGCTGTGTACTGTTTAGTACCTACTATCTGCTGTTTACTGTTTAGTACCTACTATCTGCTGTATACTGTTTAGTACCTACTATCTGCTGTGTACTGTTTAGTACCTACTATCTGCTGTGTACTGTTTAGTACCTACTATCTGCTGTGTACTGTTTAGTACCTACTATCTGCTGTGTACTGTTTAGTACCTACTATCTGCTGTTTACTGTTTAGTACCTACTATCTGCTGTATACTGTTAGTACCTACTATCTGCTGTGTACTGTTTAGTACCTACTATCTGCTGTATACTGTTTAGTACCTACTATCAGCTGTATGCTGTTTAGTACCTACTATCTGCTGTATACTGTTTAGTCGGTACTAAACAGTACACAGCACGGATAGTCGGTACTGACTACTGACAGACTGAAGAGGTACTTGGCAATTGGGATACAGCCCGGGGTGGACGCCAAAAAATGACCACTGAATGACCATGAAAGTTCAGGATACTGAAACTCCTACTGAAAAGTACTGCCTACTGAACTGTGGATATTCAGAAAGGGGCCTGAGCCTCACCTGGGCCTCCCCTGAGCCTCACCTGGGCCTCCCCAGTCCAAAAAGTCTGGACACGCCCCTGGGTATCTACGTCATACTTTTGGTATAGACAACTCTAACTTCAGGTGCTCTCCACTATCTGTTCATGTAATCTTCCTGTGTTCTTTAATGTTACTTATTCCTCTTTAGAAATGTGCACATTGACTAAATAAAAGTGTAAACAGTATAAAAACAGTATAAACAGTGTAAAAACAGCATAAACAGTGTAAAAACAGTGTAAAAACAGTGTAAAACAGTATAAAAACAGTATAAACAGTATAAAAAGTATAAAACAGGTGTTCTGGAGGTTGATGTGGTGAAAGGTGAAGCAGCTGTCACACCAAGTAGCCCACAATGCTAACAAGCAGAGCTGTTAGTACAATGACAGTCAAAGTCTAACACAGCTTAACACCTCAATATAACATTAAACACAAAGTCAAGACATAAAAGAAACAAGTGTGTAGCTGAAAAAGTGTAATTTGAAGATTTAACCCAGGACAAGGACACCGTTAATGTGACCTACATGTCGGTTCAACTTTCACCCACATGTTAGCTTCATGCTAACACCAAACGGGCGAGTTAGGCTCTTTTAGCTCATTAAAAAAACCTTAAGTTAAGATACTAGATAATATTAATAATAAACACCTGTGGCTACAATAAGCATGTAGGTTATGTTGCAACAAATGACAACACTGTCGTTAAAATGAGTCTTCTTTGCGCAGCATGCTCGCAACTTTCGAGCTAACGAGGCTTTAGCTCACCTTTACCTGAGTATCTGCTGGCTGGCAACATGCTGTGTCAGCTGGTGTAAACTCACTACAGCAGACTGTTCTTTTGAGACCGATCTGTGCAGTCGTAGTGTCCTCGCTTGTGTAACT